TACAGCACCTGTAAGAGTGCCCAATATGGATGGTCCTCATGCCGACGTCACCCCTTCCCTGGTACACAACTCCTCCTTTGGGCGGTTGTCCCTCCATCACCTTGACACACTCCTGACCTGGAGGAGTCAGAGGCTGGAGGTTTGGGGCACCATCATGACAACTTGATCCAGCAGCCCCAGCACTTCCAGAAGTGAACGCAATGGTGATACCCCCTCTCCCCGTCCCCCCACCCCACTTCCTTTTTTCTTTTTCCTCTGCACTTTACTTCTCCTTTGAAGGATGCTCCTGTCTTCCAACCCGCGACTTCCACGTGTAACCCTGAGTATGTGCATATCCTCCTGTTACCTATCTCACGAATTTCTCTACCACAGGAGAGGTGACAGTTCCTCCGAGCACCCACAGTCCCACAACAGAACGGGGCCCTCCCACAGTGCTCCAGAGAGAATAAGGTGAAAGCCAAGTTCCAGGGCAGGAGGGACAAGGTGCAAGAAGGCATCTTCTGGGAATCCACCCTAGGCAACACTGAACTAGATCTGGAGGGGAGTGTGGTTCCAGGGATGTGGACTCCTCAGGGACAAGGAAGAGGAGTTGTGGACATGGGCCCTGTGACCCTAGGGCACAGATCCAGAGAGCCACAGTGTCCAGATCCTGCTCAATGCCTGGAGTGGCAGACTCCCCATGGCTTCTATGGCTGTGCTCAGGGTCATGTTCACGTCTTCTGCGGTAGGGCTGTGATAGGAGTGGTCATGGCTATGGCCGTGGTGCAAATCCTCGTGTGAATGTCCATAGTTGCAACTATGGGTATGTCATGAGTGTGGCCATGGCCATGGGCATGGCTGTGTTCTTGGTGGAAATCCATCAAGAGTGCCTATGACGTTGGCCATGGAAGTGTCTGTTCAGGTCACCATGACCCCTGTGTCTGGTCACCAGCAGCCCCGAGGCCACCCAGGTCAGCAGCCCCGAGGCCACCCAGTGGGGGCCCCCAGACCTCTGGCCATCCAGCTGACCAGAGGGACGGAGACAGTGACTCCATTTGACACTTGGCTCTATACCTCTGTGGGATCTGCTTCTCTCCACTCATGCCCCCTGTCCACTTCTATGGGCTCCTCCTCCATTCCATTCTGTCCCCAGCCACGTTGTTCCCAAGGCTGTTCCCGAGACGGCACTTTGGAAGAGTTTTGCTATTGAGGAAAACAGAGAGGTGGCACAGTGCCTGAAGGGGCCTATGTGGTCCATGGAAAGCTTACCTTCGTTTGACTTTAATATGGGACAAATCAAATAAATTAAGTGTCTGTGGCAGAGAAGAAAAGTGGCAGTGGGGATTCAGGGTGAAGTGGAAAAGATGAAATAAGAGTGGGTTCTATGTAGTCAAAGATGAGAGCGTGCTATGAATTAAAGAGGCTGGTAGGATGATTTCTCTGGGGGCCAGCCAGAGGCGAGAAGTAGCCAAACAGAACAAAACAAACATCACCCTCTTCTCCCCTCTGATCTTTACTATGAAGAGCAAACTGCTCGATTCAAAGTCAAGAATACTTGGGGCGCCTGGCTGTCTCAGTCGGCGGAGCGTGCGGCTCTTGATCTCCGGGTTGTGAGTTCGAGCCTCATGCTGGGTGTAGAGAGTCCTTAAAAATAAAATCTTTAAAAAACCAAAACCAAACCAAACCAAAACAAAACCCACACAAAGTTGTGGATACTCATACATTAATCTGTTTTTCATCTCTTCTACTCCCATGTGCCTCCCAAGGCAAGAACTGGAAAGCTGGAGAGAATGAATAAATTGGCTGTTACATTTCTTTCTTTCTTTTTTTTTTTTTAAGATTTTATTTATTTATTTAATTGACGGGGGGGGGGGGTGGAGCACAAGCAAGGGGAGTGGGAGAGGGAGAAGCAGGCTTCCCGCCGAGCGGAGAGCCCGATGCAGGGGCTCGATGCAGGGGCTCGATGCAGGGGCTCGATCCCAGGACCTGGGATCATGACCTGAGCTGAAGGCAGTCACTTAACTAACTGAGCCACCCAGGCGCCCCTGGCTGTTCCATTTCTTTGAGGTCAATTAAGGCATCACAGCATTTTTTAAGAGCACCAGGGGCCCTGGCAAAATTTATTCAAGAGGAGGTTTTGAGCAGGGAAGGGACCTTCTCTGCTCCCACCTGGGCTGTCAGCAGACAGAGGGTTTCACTTCACTAGAGACCTGAAGGTCAGTCTTGTTTCTACCTGCTTCTCCCAAACGGAGGGCTGACGGTCAGAGTTGCGACTGTAGTTATCTCTTGAACTGCAGCCGTTTGCTTCTTTGCCAGGAAATGTTCCGTGCAGGGAGTGGATGTTGTAGGGACAAAGGCTACAGAGCCGACACAATGCCCCTGCTGTGTGCTCCCAACCAGTGGGCCTGAGGCAATTCCTAGAGACATTTTTGTTGGGTTACTGCACACCCACAAATAGCTACTTTAAAAAAGGGAAAAGAACAAAACTTTACAATTAGAGGGCTTTTTAGAAAAGGCATTTAAAAACTAACAGATAACAGATGTGCCTGTTACTTCTTGCAACGGACTCTAAATTGTTCTCCCAGCCTCCAGTCTCTCCCACGCCAATCCATTCTGCACACTGTAGCAGGATTAGTCTCCTGAAAGCACAGATCTGATCTTGGCACTGCGATGCTCAAGCACCCTCAATGGCTCCCCACTGCCTTTACAATAACAAAGCATTCAAAGATCCTTCATTCTAGAGCCTCTCTTCTCTTCCCTCCCCCTGCCCCCTATCTCCCCCACTGCTGCCTTGGACGATTCTCTTCCTCTTCCTCTGACTCACTCCAATTCAATCTTTCACTCTTAGTTTATTTGTTCTTTCTTCTGGGGAGCTTTTTTCCCCTACCTACCAACCTCTGGACTGAACAAGGCCCTCCAGTAAGAGGCTTATATAAAACCCTGCAGTTCCTCCTATCACAAATATAATTGCTCTAAACTGCAGTCATTGGCTTAATTGTTTGTCTTCCCTGCTACACAATAAGTTCTGTGAGGTCGGGGACCATATCCCTCTCGCTCTGTGGGATACTGTGTCTCCAGGGCCTGGGATGCACTCATGAATGTGAGCGAGCGAACTGAGCAGTCTGCCTTGACTCCCAAGTTTTATTCTTGCTTTTCCGTCCCCGACCTGACCTGTTTTTGCCACCATTCTTGGTCTATAAAATTTCTACCCAAACCACACATATTTAGTCACTGGATTCATAAGAAAGTTGACACTGCAGGAAAGAATGGTCTTTTCAAAAAATGGTTCCGGGCCAGTAGGATGGCTGTATGGAAGAAAGGAATCTTGAGCCCACCTTGCACACACACCAAAATCAATTTCAGATGGATTGTATATTTAAATATGAAAAGTAAAATAATGAGACTTTTGGAAGAAAACATAGGAGAAAAATCTTCAAAACCTTTAGGTAGGCAAAGATTTCTTTTTTTTTAAGATTTTATTTATTTATTTGAGAGAGAGAATGAGATAGAGAGAGAGAGAGAGAGAGAGAGAGAGAGAGAGCATGAGAGGGGGGAGGGTCAGAGGGAGAAGCAGACTCCCCGCCGAGCAGGGAGCCCGATGCGGGACTCGATCCCGGGACACCAGGATCATGACCTGAGCCGAAGGCAGTCGCTTAACCAACTGAGCCACCCAGGCGCCCCAAGGCAAAGATTTCTTAAACAGGATACAAAAAGCACTAATTATAAAGGAGAACATTGGTAAATTGCCATTCAGGTTAAAAAGTTATTTTCATTAAAACACACCATTAAGAGATTTAGAACGGCAGACACAATAGAGAAATAATAGAGAAAATCAATGAAACCAAAAGTTGGTTCTTTATAACAATTAATAAAATTAACAAACCTTTAACTGAACTGATCAAGAAAAAAGAGAAATACTCAAACTACTAACTCAGAAATGAAAGAGGAAACATCATTATTGATCTTTCAGAAATACAAAGAATTATAATACTACAAAAAATTGTATGCCAACAAACTAGCTAACCTATATGGAATGGACAAATTCCTAAAAAGCCACAAATTACCAAAACTGACTGAAGAAGAAATATAAAATCTGGATAGATCTACAACAAGTAAGGTGACTGAATTAGTAATAGTAATTTTAAAAAAATCTTTCAACAAAGAAAAGCCCAGACCCAAATAATCAGAAGGTTTTTTCACTGGTAAATTCTACCAAATGTTTATTTTTTTTATTTTTGAATCATTTTACTGTTTATACCATAATCACATGAAAATTGGCAGAACTCCCATGACAGACCGGACAGAGACCTGTCATGCAAGGCAAATAGTGAAGGTTTCATAAAGCTGGAGAGAAGTACCAGGGTTCCACAAGATGGCCGCAGAGATCCCAGACAACAGTGTCACGGTGTCAGTGTCGGAGCAGGTGGGAACAGAGGCGGCCATGGCCATAGCTGGCCTGAGGCCACTGCTGTTTCCCTTTTTTTTTTTTTTTAAAGATTTTATTTATTTATTTGAGAGAGAGAGTGAGAGAGAGCACATGAGAGGGGGGAGGGTCGGAGGGAGAAGCAGACTCCCTGCTGAGCAGGGAGCCCGATGCGGGACTCGATCCCGGGACTCCAGGATCATGACCTGAGCCGAAGGCAGTCGCTTAACCAACTGAGCCACCCAGGCGCCCTGCCACTGCCGTTTCCTGAGGGGGATTTCCTAATATGCTTGGTAAGCAGATCACTTGAACAGATGTACATGGAGCAGGGTACTGCTTCTGCTGAATAAATTCTACAGGTTCCTGGGCAGGGGCTACAAATCTCATGTGATAAATGGTTGCTGAATTAGGATTTTGCAAAGGCAGTCCCATAACCAACATCCAGGGAAATTTTACCACCAGTGAAATTCTTAGGCCAAAAAATAAATAGCCACACATACCAAAACTACACACCGTGAATTAAAATGGTGCCATGTTAGGGCTTATGAAAGAACCAGAGCAGGAGAGATTATTCAAGCAGAAGATCCTCATCCTTCTCTTAAGCCAGAAGATTAGCAGGCTCCATCACCTCACCAACTGTCCTCCATTGCTCCACGTCCTTCTCAGATTTTTCCTCGAGAATCTTTTTCTTCTGTATTTTCTTTAATCTACAGAACTCTTCTCGCTCTCTCTCATCCAGCTCTGTGATGATAGAAGCAAGGGTACGTTCAATCCGGGGAATGATGATGTGTTCAATGGCATTGACACGCCTGTTGGTTATCTTGATGGCTTCATCCAAAGTAACAAAGGAAGTCTGAAGCGAAGCTAGTTCCACCAGTAACTCCACTGCTTTGGCGTAGTTCCCCTTTAATTTCGCCAACTGCTCCCCACCTCGGGCTAAACCAGTCAGTTCATAACTGTCAGTTCCTTCATGATAATGTTCAAACACTGGCAAGGTAACACCTGCTATGTTATGTTTCTTAGCTTGGATCTTCACTTGGGCTTTACTTACATTTTGGATGACTGTGCTGAAATCCCCTGCTGTGAACTTGGCCTCAGCAAGTGAAAAGGCAACTTCTCTCATCACTTCACCCATCAACATTTTAGTCTCTATTATCTTCTTTAAGATCTGTCGAAATCGAAGAGTTAAGGCATCAGATTTTTTCTTCAGGAGGTTTCGACTCGTCTGTGCTCCTTTTAATCGAGCTTTCATGATGGTCTGTGCCATGCGCGAGGGAAAGATTTCAATTCATTCTTTGCCTGACATTCTGACAATGACAGTTTGGCTCGGATCCCCGGCCGGGCAATCGAGGCTGCCCCAGCCACAGGGTCTTCCTCTAAGGGAGTCAGCCTCTACCAAATGTTTAAAGAATTAACATCAACCCCTTTCAAAAAAAAAAAAGAGGAAACACTTGCCAACTCATTCTATGAGGCCAGTATTACTCTGATACCAAAACAGACAAAGACGTCACAAGAAAATTATAGACAAGGGCGCCTGGGTGGCTCAGTTGGTTAAGCGACTGCCTTCGGCTCAGGTCATGATCCTGGAGTCCCGGGATCGAGTCCCGCATCGGGCTCCCTGCTCAGCGGGGAGTCTGCTTCTCCCTCCGACCCTCCCCCCCTCACGTACACTCTCTCTCTCTCTCTCTCTCATTCTCACTCTCTCAAAATAAATAATAAATAAATCTTAAAAAAAAGAAAAGAAAATTATAGACAAATATCTTTTAGAGTATAGATGCAAAAATCCTCAATAAAATATTACAAAAAAAAAATCTAGCAACATATAAAAAGGATCTTATACTAGGACTGAAATTTATTCCAGCAATGGGAGGGGAGGTTGGTTTAACAAATGAAAATCTATCAATGTAGTATATGTACCATATTAATAAAGTACAAAAACAATATGATCATCTTATAGACGCAGAAAATCATTTGACAAAATTCAACTCCCTTTCTTGATAAGAACACTTAAACTAGGAATACAGCTAAATTTCCTCAACCTAACAAGGGCCAGCTATTGACGCAGCTAACATGATACTTAGTGGTGAAAGGCTGGTTATTTTTCCCCTGAGATCAGGAAGAAGACAAAGAGGTCTGCTCCTAACATTTATATTCAAAATAGTACTGGAAGTTCTAACCAGAGCAGTTAGGCAAGAACAAGAGATAAAAAGCATCCAAATTGTAAAGGAAGAGGTGAAATGGTCTCTTAGTCACATGACATGATTTTATATGTAGAAACCCTAAAGATCTTACACAAAAACTATCAGAGCTAACAAATCCAGCAAAGTTGCAGGATATGCAGTCAACACACAAAAATCACACTAGGAATTTATAACCTAAAAAGGAAATTAAGAAAACAATTTTATTTATAATAGCATCAAAAAGAATAAAATACTTAGGAATAAATTTTTTAAAAAGAGTGTAAGACTTAAATAATGCAAACTACAAAATTTCACTGAAAAAAATTAAGGAAGACCAAAATAAATGGAAGGGCATTCCATGTTCATGGATCAGAAGACTTAATATTATTAAGATAGCAATACTCCCCAAAATGATCTATAAGTACAATGTAGTCCCTATCAAAATCTCAGCTGCCATTTTTGAAAAAGTGACAAGCTTGTACTAAAATTCATGTAGAGATGTAAGGGACCCAGAATAGCCAAAATATTTTGAGCAAGAGAAAAAAAAAAAAGAAGAAGAAGAAGAAGAAAGAAAGAAGACTGGACAAAGTTGGAGGACTCACATGTCCAGATTCCAAAACTCGCTACATATCAAGACAGTGTGGCATAAGAATAGAAATATAGATCAATGAACTAGAATTCAGAGTCTGGAAATAAATCCTTGTATTTATGGTCAATTAATTTTTGATAAGGGTACCAAGACAATTCAATGGGGTTAAAATAGTCTTTTCAACAAATGATGCTGGGACAATAGGATCTCCACATGCAAAAGATGAAACTGGTTCCCTATCGCACACCATGTACAAAAATTACTTCAAACTGGGTCATATATGTAAATGTAAGAGCTAAAACTATAAAACTCTTACAAGAAAACATATGAGTAAATATTCATGATCTTGGATTAGGCAATGGTTTCTTAAATATGATACCAAAAGCACAAGTGACAAAAGAAAAAAAATAAACCGAATTTCATCAAAATGAAAAACTTTGAGCTGCAAATGTGAAAGTGAATGAAAGTAAAAAGGCAAACCACAGAATGGGAGAAAACGTTTGCAGATCATATATCTGATAAGGGACTTGTAACCAGAATATATGAAGAATTCTTACAAGTCAACAGTAATAACAGTTTAAAAGAACCCAAATAACCCAATTTAAAAATAGGCAAAGGATTTGAGTTGGCATTTCTTCAAAAGTGATATAAAATGGCCAATCTGCATATGCAAAGATCGTCAACATCATTAGTCGCTAGGCAAATTCAAACTGAAATCATCATGAGATACCATTATATAACCATGAATATGGCTGTGATAAAAAAGATGGACAATAAAATGTTAGCAAGGATGTGGAGCTGTTGGAACCCTCATATATTGCTGGTGGAAATGTAAAATGGTCCAGCCACTTCAGAAAACAGTTTGGCATTTTCTCAAAAGATTACACAGAGTTAGGGATGCCTGGGTGGCTCAGTGGGTTAAGTGGCTGCCTTTGGCTCAGGTCATGATCCTGGGGTCCTGGGATCAAGTCCCACATTGGGCTCCTTGTTCAGTGGGGAGCCTACTTCTCCCTCTGCCTGCAGCTTCCCCTGCTTGTGCTCTCTCTCTCTGACAAATAAATAAATTAAAAAAAAAAACAAAACGGATTACACAGAGTTATCATATAATGCAGTGATTCCATTGCTAAGGTACATGCCCAAGAGAACGGAAACGTATGCCTACACCAAACTTGTACATGAATGTTCACCACAGTATTATTCATAATAGCAAAAAAAAGTAGAAACAATCCAAACGTCCATCAGCTAGATAAACATACCATGGTATAGCCATATAATGGCATAATATTCATCCCCAAGAAGGAAGGGAGTACTATTTCAGGCTACAACATAGATGAACCTTGAAAACATTACGCTAAGTGAAAGGGACTAGTCATAAAAGGCCACATATTGTCTGACTCCATTAATATGAAATGTCCAGAATAGGAAAATCCATAGGCAAAATGTAAATTAGTGGTTGCCAGGGTCTGGGGAGGGGGATGGCTATGGGAAGTATCTGCTAATGGGTATGGAGTTTCTTTTGGGGGTGATGAAAATGTTCTGGAATTTGATTAGTGGTGATGGAGGCACAGATCCATGCCTGTACTAACAACCACTGACTTGTATATTTTTAAAGGGTAAACCTGATGTCATGTAAATTATATCTCAATAAAGTTGTTATTAAAATAAAGGTAAGCCACAGCATAACAAAGACAAAAGACATATCCAGAATGTATATAAAACTCCTACAAGTCAATAATGAAAAAGGAAGACAACCAAAACCAAAAAAAGGGACAAATGGAAAAGTAACTTTACAAAAGATAAAATAAAGGGCCAATAATCATACAAAAGGGGGGGGGCACCTGGGTGGCTCAGTCGGTTAAGTGTCTGCCTTTGGATCAGGTCATGATCTCAGGGTCCTGGGATGGAGCCCCGTGTACGGCTCCCTTCTCAGCGGGGGGGAGTCGGCTTCTCCCTCTCCCTCTGCCCCTCCCCCCCACCCGCTCATGTTCTCTTTCTCAAATAAATAAAATCGTTAAAAACAAAACAAAAAACATATGAGAAAGGGACCAGTTCCACCAATCATCAGGGAATTCAATTAAAACCATCATGAGAGATCACTATGGGCACATCAGAATGACTGAAATGCAGGATTCTGAAAATACCCTAGTGTTAGCGAAGAAATGTGGAGCAAGATGAACTCCCTTACGCTACTGGGGGGGTGGGGGATGTAAGCTGGTGCAACTATTTGGCACTGCTGACGGAGGCCTATATCCATATACTCTGTATATTCCTCAACTGGTAATATTCCCCACAGAAATATGTACATGACCACCAAACTTTTTTTTTTTAAGATTTTTATCTATTTATTTGAGAGAGAGAGAGAGCATGAGAGCGGGGAGGGTCAGAGGGAGAAGCAGACTCCCCGCTGAGCAGGGAGCCCGATGCAGGACTCGATCCCCAGACTCCAGATTCATGACCCGAGCCGAAGGCAGTCGCCCAACCAACCGAGGCACCGAACTGTTCTTAGCAGTCCTACTTGTTACAGACCCAAACTGGGAACAACTTCCACGTGCATCAAACAGTAGAGTGGATAAACAAAATGCATCACGTGATGAAGATGACCACAATGAGCGTGAACGATCTTCAACTACATGTGACAATATGAACAAATATTACAAACGCCATGCTGTGCGACAGAAGCCAGAAGCAAAAGAGTTTACACTGCGATTCTACTTCCAGATAAAAGTGTTCTAGGGAGGTAGAAGTCAGGACGCTGGTTACCTTTTGTGGGACATGAGGAGGGAAGGGGGAGGAAAGGAGCTTCTCGGATGCTGCTAATGCTCTTTCTTCATCTTCATACTGGTTACACAAGTGAGCTCAGTTTGGGCGCCTGGGTGGCTCAGTTGGTTAAGCGACTGCCTTCGACTCAGGTCGTGATCCCGGAATCCAGGGATCGAGTCCCACATCGGGCTCCCTGCTCAGCGGGGGGTCTGCTTCTCCCTCGGACCCTCTTCCCTCTCCTGCTCTCTGTCTCGCATTCTCTCTCTCTCATATAAAAAAACAAAAACAAAAAACTGAAGTCAACTCAATGAATGTTTGATTTAAGTCTCTTTGTTTTTAGACATTTTTCTTTAGATGTTTAATATCTTTTATTGAATCAGTGGCCAAATAAGGTGGCATCTGCTCAGTTAGGAAAGGCTCCTGTCAGAAATGAAATCCTCCACCGTGTTGCAAGACCCCTGTCCCAGGAGACCGGCGGCAGATTCCTTGAGAGTGGGGACCATGACAATGTGTTTAGTAGCACCTCAACTTGCACATAGGAGCCCTTAAAGGATGCTTATTATCTTCTTTAGCTAAAAAACAAAACACTAAAACCCCCTTCTTGGCCTCCCCTTACCTCTTTGCCTCTCCCCCCTTCCACTTCCAAGCTTTCATTTAGCAAAAGCACATATAACAAGGGATAATTCCTCTAGTAATTCCAGGAAGATTCCAGTATGGGCAGAAGAGTTTGGTTTTAGGGCTGGAACATTCCAAACAAAAACAAAAAAAAAAAAATTTTTTTTTTTTTTAAAGCAGAACCCTTTTGGGAAACATATCTATTTGGGGCTTGAGTCCGTCAGGAAATAGCTTTCCCTGGTTGGATGGCATTCTATCCCTTGCTCCCTGGGCATAAGGGTTATGGGAAATGAAACAGGAATCCTTAGAGCTTTGATGGGCTCAGAAAGGGGTCCTTTGGCTCCAATCCTGGGAGCCCAAAGGAGGCTACCGAAGTGGCTTTGCCCCTACTGTCGGTTTGGAAGCCAGACTCCTGACCTCTGCTCAGACACATGGACAAGCCTGTCCTCCTGCTGTTCGGCCCATAAAAGAATCCATGTTCTTTGAGCCAAGATGTTAGGGAAGAATGTGGTACAATGGAGAGTGGGACTTTGGAGTCAAAAATGTGGGTTTGTGTCTTATCTTTGCAACTTAACTGGTTGTGTGACTGTGGACATGTACCTTTCTCTTGGAATTTGCAATTCTCACCTGCAAACAGAACAAGTAATTCCTCCCAGGGTTATTGGGAAAAATATCTGATGAGATTATTCATGTGAAAGCATCTTGCCAAGTACCTGGTACATGGTGGATATTTAAACACAGGAGGGAGAAGAGATGTTTGGGTAGGAAGAATTTGCCAGTATTTTTCCAGACATATCCAAGCGAGCATTTTTATAGTGGGATGACGTGGCTCTGTGACCCTGGGCCAGCTTTCTTATCTTCCTGGCCCTCAATTTCCCCTCAGAAGAGATTTCTGCCTCCAAGAAGAAGGGACCCCTAGAATTTGAGGTTAAAGGTCAGAGTGTGTCACTTTCTGCAACAGAGTAAAGATTTATTACCTTGTTTCCAAGATACCTTCAATTGTAAGGTACATAACAGCTTTTGGAGAGAGAAAAAAAAATTTTTTTTTTAAAGATTTTATTTATTTATTTGACAGAGAGAGAGAGAGAGAGCACAAGTAGGCAGAGTGGCAGGCAGAGGGAGAGGGAGAAGCAGGCTCTCTGCTGAGCAGGGAGCCGGACCTGGGGCTCGATCCCAGGACCCTGGGATCATGACCTGAGCCACCCAGGCGCCCCCGAGAGAAAAAAAATTTTAAGACAAATTCTGATTTCGGAATCATCAACATGTGAACAAATATGTCTTGCAATTGAAGAAATACCGTAACAATAATGCTGGCTCTCATTTATTAAGCATTTGCTGAGTGCCAGGTACCACCCGAGCTCCTCTACCTACCAAGTCCTTGACTAATTAAAGTAAGTCTGGGAGTCTTATGGTTAGCAAACCCAATATGGAGTGCTCACGTGACTCTTCCAAGGCCACACGACCAGGAGGTAGGGCTTGGAAGGCAAGCCTTCTTAATTTCAAAATGCTTTTCTCTCTCAATAGATTGTTCTCCGGGCTAAGGAGATAAAGAGATCAGCTCCGTACAGAGAAATGGTTTGCAAACCTGGTGCTTTAAATGTGCCCTGAATCTCTGCAAGGTCACCGGGAAGGACACAGGTAACACAAACAGGGTTGTAATCTTATCAGTCTCTAATACTGGTCCTTGGAGGGAAGGTGTGACCTGGAGAGAGGGGATTGCTCAGAATCCAAACAGAGGGAAGCTAAGAAATGAGACTGAGTTAGGCTTAATCCAGCCCCAAAGGGAGAGGACAGGCTCTGACCAGGTCACACCTTGACCTGGTCACATCTGACCCGCTCCTGGCTCGTTCAAGGCCCGAGGACACCGCAATAAGCTTTTGCCGTAGAGGCCATCATTCCTCAAGGTCACCCTATTCCTTCTCCTCTGACTCTTTGCTAATGAAGGAGAAACCTTTCGAGAAGAATTGTCTTTCCCATTACCTTTCTTAAAGACGGAGAAATCTGCTGACCGGTTGTCATGAGCTAGCTAGTGGTCATCTAGTACAGGAACAAGTTATAAATTAACAGGTTGGTTTTTTGGTTAGTTAGCCCAAGTTAGTTCCCCTGTGCCTGATGAACGGCATTGAATATTTTGCTCTGCAAAACTGTGGCTATAGCACTGATTCCTATAGGACCTCAGTGGTGATACTCTCGGGAGCATGCTCTGACCCCTGACTCCTGACCAGAAGACTCCTGGGTTGTCTGTCTAGCAATTGTGTTTGGGGGAGAGAGCCACACTCACTTCAGTGGATTGCCGGCATAGCTCTACCTCATCAGAGCACAAACAATGTCCCACAGCTTTTTGGAAGGGTGGCAGCAGGGACATGGACACAGCTAGGGTGGGGCGGGGCAGGGCAGGGTTGGGGGTTGCCTGAAGCATCCAGACTTGCATGAGATGCCCCTTGTTGACCCAACCGGAAGGAACTCGTAGTGAAGCTGCCAGAGGAGATATGCGCTTCTGGGTCTTGACTGGAGAAGGCTCTTTGGACGGTGGCCAAGATAGCACCAAGGTTGGGGGGGGGAGGTCACCGAGTCTCCACGTGGACGTCAGCGGGGCTGAAGGTCACGGTTGCAGGGTGTTGATTGCTGTTGCTGTTCGGGCCCAAGGTAGAAGGGGAGGCTGGCTTGGGCCCCTTGGGCTCCAGTTCCCGCCTGGTCCTCATTTTCCTGGAATGAGATACGCATGCATGCTTGAGTCTTCCACCTTCTATACCTTATGTTTTTGGCTCTGGCAAGGAGATTAACGTAGATCATCATTAAATAACGTTGCTTGATTGCCACCCACAGAATTTTACAACTGGAAGGAATCTTAGACATCAGCTAGCCTGACCCTTCCATTTTTTTGTGTAACTTAGGTTAGATATTTAATTTTATTTTATTTTTCCTGCTAATGAATGAGTAAAGTGTCAGGTGATTATATTAAAGACAAAATGAAGATACTATGAATTTTTTTTTCTGTTCAAAGTTGTAGTGTGAATTAAATTTTGCAGTTTCATTATACTTGCCAAGTTGATTGCTAGAAATATTTAAGAACTTTTTGCATAGTTGAGAAGAGAATGGACTTAAAATGTATATCCAATCTTTCATTTCATATGCCAGAAAATTCAATGACTATAACAATCATTAATTTTAACAACTACATGAAATTTCATCTTGTTGACCTAACATAATATATATATATATTTTTAAATTTCAAATGCTCAGAAAAGTTGCACAAATAGTAAAATTAGTACCTGAGCACCCCTCGTGGAACAATTCACTGATTACCAGCAGTCTGCCACATTTGCCTCTTTCTCTCTCTCTTCATTTACACACGTGTACATCTACGCACATACATATACACAGAGTGTTTTTTTAAATCCTGAACTATCTGAGTCAGTTGCAGATGTCATGCCACTTCACCCCTAAATACTCCTCAAAACAAGGGTATTCTCCATGCAACCATCACTCAGTTGTCCCACTTGGAGAGCCTTCCATTTTAAAGATGACAAAATGGAGGCACAGAGAGGTTAAATAACTTGCCTCCCTTTGAGAGACCAAACACCGAGCTCTGGTCTCTCAGTTGCAGCCCAGGCATCATTGTAAACAGGGTGGCGTGGGTAGTCTCCATCCAAATTACAACCTAGGAAAGGGGCTCAGAGCTCTGGCAACGATGGACAGGAATGAAGGGCAGACACTATGGTTGGACGCCACTTCCTGGTCTGGGACGGATCCAAATGGTAATACCCTCAGAATTGTAAAAATAACTTATTAAGTGCTGTTATTATTATTACACATAGTGGTGGGAGTATTTTCTTTGAAACCACATGTACTGGGTTTAAATCCCAGCTCTGCCACCGAGGCTGAGTAAACTTGGGCTTGTTGGTTTATTTCCCAGTGCGTGTTTCACTCCTACAAAATTGGGGGATATAGAATTACCCACCTGGTGGGGTTGTAGCGAGGATTAAATGAGTTAACACATACCAGGAGCTTAAATTGATGCCTGGCACATAGTAAGAGATCAGTATATGTATATAATATATGTGTACGTTATATATACATTTTAGATACATATATAATATGAAACATACATGTTTTATAAGTAACATTAACATTATTATAAAAACAATGCATGTTTGCACCTCCTCAAAATAAAGACATACAGGGGTCCCCCTGTAAAAACCAACCAAGCAACTAGCAATTCCATCATGCAGACACACTGGTTGTTAACACCTTGCCATGTAGCATTTGAATCTTCCTTGGTTGTGTGTGTGTGTAACCACGTGTATAATTATAATGTACATATCCTCTTTGTAAACTTTGCCGATACATTGTAAACAGCTTTCCTCATCAATAAACACACTTCTACAATATCTTTTTTTTTTTAATGGCTTCCAAGTCTTCTATGATGTGGTTGTGTTTATAGTCTATTTTGATTTCTTGCCTGGGAAGAATAACTTTCTAGTACAGTTGTGACTTAGAGGTGGTAACACAACATTTATTCTTTATGCAATCACATGATATTATTTCCTCCTATTTGGTCCCGGAAAGTGGAGCTGGGGGTACAGGCATTCCAGTATTTGTCACCCCAAATACTCACGTGGTCTGCTCGACACAACCTAGCAGACTCCCTGAGATTAAAGGATTGGAACATATTCCTTTATGACTGTATGTTACCTTACCGCAGTGCTCAAGGCCATTAGCATTGTCATGATGATTACTATATTTAACAACTACCTCTGCAGGTACAAAAATATTTGGTTACCATGAAGTTCCTACAGGAGAACAGATGTCAAAAAAGGACCCACAAAGGGTTCGAGCGTTGGACGACAGCCTCATGGGTCCTGCGGGGCACGTGGCTGGCACCCACAAGAGTTAGTTGGCATTCATTCAGATATCAACGAAGGGACAAGAGCCTCAGAGCCCAGGGCATCCCATACCTGTTGTACATCTTCAGCAGGATCAGAACCACGGTGAAGATGATGATGACAACTACCACAATGGCTGCAACAATGGCTCCAGAACCTACGAGGAGAGGCGTGGGAATGGCAAACGTGTAAACTGAAATGAAGGGAAGCATCCAGAGACTGGGAGGGGGACCTCCACCCGGCACTTCCCATCCTCACTGGATCGGGTGCGGAGAGGACGTGCTGTCCTGGCACCCTGCCTACTGACCCCAGGACAGAGACATATCCAGAATGGCGGGGCACCCCTCCCCACAGCGGGGCTTGGAGGGTGGTGTCCTCAGCACATCACCTGCCCAAATCCTGTCTCAGGCCATCCTGTTGTTAATCAGTCCTAACACAGCGTCCAACTTCCTTTGTGAAACAGGCAAGCAAAAGGCCCTTGCCTCTTTGTGATGATACAAAGTAACATGTAATTTTGTAGCTAATTTTGAAAATACAAATACGAGCAAAAAAAAAGGAACTCATTGCCCCAGGAACCACTGATCATCTACACATACATACTTTCACCAATGTCATCATGTATACGCACGTATGCGTATTAAATACCTATCTACTCAACATTTTTGAGTAATTTATTAATCCTATGTCTGAAAATCCACCTTAAGGAAATAGTCATAGAAGTGTAAAATACGTATTTGATAAAAATGGAACCATGTTCCATACAGTTTTACAACCATATCCCAATCATCTTTCCATGTAATTACATTGTTTTTCATGACTTTGATGGCTATGTAGTCCCCCATTGTTTGGATGTGACATAATTTGTTTACCAATTCCATGTTGAGGATATTTATGTTGTTTTCAATTTTATACTATGAAAAACAAGGCTATAATGAATGTCTTTGTGGCTTAATATCTCAGGTTCTAATTTCAATATCAGCACTCGATCTCCTTGGCCACCTCTAATTCCACCTTCAAAATCAACGTCCTTGTGGGAATTGAAATTGAAAATACAAAAAAACCATATGCCGGGGGGGGGGTCATACTTTAAGCCAATCTATTTGATTCTGGGGTGTTTATCTTAGGGAATAATCCTAAATACAGAAAATGCTGTATGAATGAAGATGTTAGTTACAATGTTATTTATATTCTAAACACGGGAATGGTTCAATAAGGTATGGCATGCCTACCTCATGAAATATTACCCTATAGTTTGAATGATTTGTGGAAAAGAGAATATGATATTATGTACACACCCACATATACACATTATGTTGCAACCATTAAAGTATGTGCATACAAACATAATGTTGAGTAAAAGAAGCCAGATATAAAAGGGTGTGTACGGTATGGTTCCATTTCTATAAAGCTCAAAACCAGGCAGAACTAATGTCTGATAGGAGAAGTCAGAACAGCGATTCCCTTGACCAGGTGGGGGACAGTGTGGCAAGGGGCGCTGGGACGCCTGGGACCCTAGAGGTGGTCTGCTTCTTGACCTGCGGGCTGGTTACCCAAGTATGTTCATTTTGTGAAAATTCATCCAGCTGTGCACTATGATTTGTGCATTTTTTTGAATGTATGTAATGCTCTTACAAAAAGGTTTACTGAATAAAAACAAGAACAAAACTGTGTCCAAATATTCACAGGAAGAAAGCCTGGAAGGAAAGAAAAAGGGGGTGGGGTGGGAATCCATTATGGAATAACTTGTTTTTTGTCTCCGTCCTAGGGAGTCCTGTGATGATGCTTTAATCCATGGTTTTTTAACCTTGTCTGGATAACCCTTTGCTGTGGGGACTCTCCTGTGCCCTGTACAACATTTAGTAGCATCTCTGGCCTCCACTCACTAGGTATCATTAATACTGCTTCTTCCTCCCCACCAGGTGTGACAAGCAATAGTGTCCAAACGCTGTCAAATGTCCCCTGACAGTAAAGTGGCCAGATAAGGTACCGGATACCTATTTAAATCAGAATTTCTGAAAAATAATGAATAATTTTTGGGATGTCTCAACTATTGCATGGCACGTCCTTATACTAAACAAACACTACTTCCCTTAAATTCAAATTTAACCGGGTGTTCTGTATTTTATTTTCAAAATCTGGCAACCTTCTCTAGGGGGCAGAATCGTCTGGTTGAGAACCACTACTTTTAGTTAAGTAAAAGTAGAATTATTCCCATCCTGCTGACGGAGATTCGATCTACCCTGCATTTCCCTTCAGAACTGTTCTGAGCTACATCAGCAGGGCTCTGGAGGTCTCCCCAACCTGGCAAGGAGCAGGCTGACACACGGGACCCTGTCCCAAGAGTGATCCTCTCTAGGTCTCCATGAAGACACACGTCCTGCCAGTAGTCGGCTTCCTGCCAGGACCACGGTCTGGAGCTGTTATCACTGGGGAAACACTCCATGTCGGGAGGCCTGTTCCATGTGCACGGGTATGTGCCAGACCAACAAAAATGACAGAAATGGGCCCAACTTCCCCTAACATGATTAATTGGTTTTCTGAAGGGTGGTTGTTAAGTTTTTCCTTCCGGGGACCCCTTGCTCCTGGCAAACGTCTCCCCAGGACTACTCCCACCTACACTCATTTACTCCTTTGTGAATTGATGGGATGTTTTTGCCTTGCAAAAATAGTATGAATCATATGAAAGTAGTTACATTTTAAGGTGCTTCATTTAGGGACATCTTACAGGAGATTCAACTGTCCGTTGCCCTCTAGACCCCAAAACTCCCTGATGGTAATAGCAGTTATACCAGTAATGATCATAATAATACTCATTAGGTAGTTTGTGTGCATCGAGGCTATTCTAAGCTCCTTACATGGATCATCTGGTTTAGTCCTCACACCATTAAAGTGTGTGATGTTAATGGTAGTTTCATTCATATCCCCAGCGTACAGACGAGGAAACAGACACAAAGTAGTGAGGTCATGTGCTCAGGGTCACAGTGGGCATATGGTAGCAGTGAAACTGGGACCCCGGCAGTCTTATCTCCAGAAGCCACGCTCTTGACTTCTACACCAGGAGCTGATCACAGCCTTCGTCCCACCATCCCTCCCCTGGCCGCCAACCCAAGTTGGCCTTACTCTTGTACAGGAAGTCTTCTCTGGTGGTCACGTTCAAGGAGAAGAAGGTAGTACCCCCCAAAGGGGTGGCTGTGGTCATCTCGATCCTGGCAAGAACAAAGACGAAATTTCGTTTAACACCAGAGTGAGCTTTACAATGTCTGTATGATGCCTCTTTTGGTCTTTACGTGGATGACTAGAGAAGAGTCAAGCAGGTGGCTTTTCTTCACGGCAAGTAAATACGAGGCCTTTTACTATCTACTGCGGAGAATTAAAAATAATGTCTGACATTTGTAAAGAACTTCCTTGTTCACAGCAGTTTAAATTAACTCAACAATATTTATTAAATTTTTCCTAACTAGGTATCACCCAGAATGTCTAAACTGGGCTTCTAGAAACTGTGTGAGGGAGGCTATGATGGTCGTTTTACTGAAGAAATTGAAGTCCCTAATGCTTCATGGAGCCCCGAGTTTGAATTTAACCCAGGACATCCATCTCCTGTGCTGGTGGGACTGTCAGCGTCTCACAAGGATGCCTGAAATGATGCTTCTGCTTTCAGAAGCTTTACAATCCAAGGAGGCAAACGTAAATAAGTAAATAAGCAAGCAGATGGAAAATTTAACTATGTTATTAGGCAGTCAGTGACATAAGCCATCCCTGGGCTGTGAAGAATGGCTTCAAGGAAAAGCTAAATTTGCACGGGCCTTGAGGGATGGACATGGTTTGGGATGGCAGGACAGAGAACAAAGGCCAGGCTGCACAAAGCCCTCAGTGGGAAGACAGACGCTGCATGCTGAGCGTCTGCCAGGCACCAGGCTCTGTCACGGGCACCTTCACACCCCGTATCCGCTCACCCGTTAATCTTCTCAGTCACCACATTTTACTGCTGAGCAAACTGAGGCTCAGAGTGGCTGAGTGAAGGGACAAAAGTCACACAGCAAGGAACACATAGAGCTTGGACCCAAACACATGCTCTGAGTGCCCAGTATAGCTTCTTTCCCTGACGGTGGCAGGAATCCAAATTCACAAGCCTGCAATCTTACACTTGAGGAGTGAGCCAGGAGGTTCCCGGCTAATATGAAGTCACGCCACCAGGAACAAGTGTCAAGATCCTCCCCCAAGAAGTATATTCTGAGCGTGTGGTAGCATCCACATTTGCTCTGAACGACAGGCATCCAGAAGAGGAGGGACGCCAACGAGGTTCCTCTACTTCAGAGCAGTACTTTTACTACAGTTTACAGGCCTGTGAAGGATCGCCACCAAGAAAAGAATTATCCAGGCCTATTCGTAATGCTAAGAAGGCATAGGCTTCGTGGTGGTCACTCCATCTTCCGGAGAAGAGATGTTCTAGACACCTAACACAATATTTGTACACAAATTTTTTTTATTTTTTTTGAAAAGATTTTATATATTTGAGAGAGAGAGAGCATGCACAAGTAGGGGGAGGGGGAGAGAGAGAGGAAGAAGCAGGCTGACCCCCTGAGCAGGGAGCCTGTTGTGGGGCTCGATCCCAGGACCCCGGGATCATGACCTGAGCCGAAGGCAGACGCTTAACGACTGAGCCACCCAGGCGCCCCTTCAGTTCTTCTTTATTAAGGAAGAAAAGCAAGACTCAGTTGAAATCCTTTTTCTACTCCACTTCTACCTCATTTCCTCCCTCCCCCAAAGTAACCACTACCTTGGCCATTACTCTGTGTTCTTTTCATCAAAGTTTTAAAAGGTTTACCACATCTGTATATGCCCATAAACATTGGAAGATCATGGTTCTAACTAACCAAATACTAACTGAGCACCTACTAAGTGACTGATGCTGGGAACATACTAGTGAAATGCAAGACAGACTCCTTGGCTCCAGAAGCTCACATTCTAGTGAGACAGAGACAGAGAGAGACTGTAGGTTTGATCACAGCATTCTCGGGCTCAAAAAAACAGTCACCTCCCAGTGCCCACATTTGAACAGCTGGTAGCGAAAACCCTTCACTGTTTCCAGCCTCTCTTTCCAGCCCCTCTGCTCCTCACGTGAACCTCTGCCAAACTGCTGTGACAACAGACCACTCCGCCCCCTCTCTCCCCACCCCGTCATTCCCGGTCTTTGCTGCCAGTGGCCGGGCTGCCCAGGCTCTGGCTTCCCCAGTTCCCCACTGCGGGGGTCTCCCGAGACGTCCCACCTCGGGCCACAGCCCTCCATCCCCCAGCTCCTGATGGAAATGGGTCAGGGCACCTTCACTGGGGGCAGGTCATCTGCACCCAGGCTGGGGGATCTGGTTGCTGTGGCCTGCCCTACCCCATGGGGGCCTTGGCCTTAGAATGGCCCTCTTTGCCTTCACTTTCTCTGCTCTCCTTTAAGCCACGGGGCCCTGCTTAAAAACCCATAGTTCTTGTCTGTCCCTTCCTCCCGAAGCCCAGATCCTCAGGATTCCCAAGGAGCCGTGTGTGGCTCTGCCTGACCTCATACCAGTCAACCTTTCTTCCTTCCTGACCTCCCTGAATAGGCCCACTGGCCATGTTCCCCTGCCGGCTCCCCCTCCAAAATGAACACATCCTTCAGGATTGGGCCCAGCCACCCCTGGGAAGGCTCCCCGCTGCCCTAACCAGAATTAGCCGTCAGTCCTCTGCTGCCACAGCTGCACTCTGCAAAGAAGCACCACCAGAGCATGTGTCTCAGAAGCAGTCAACCTTCCATGTCCATTGTCGGGTCCTTGAGGGTAGAGGCTGTTTGGGGTCTTTTTCATATCCTCTTTACTTCTCCCACATAAACTGTCTGCTTTTTCTCACCTTTGCCAGTGGAAGTACTGGAGCAAATGACTGAACTTCTCCCAGCTTGGTTTGCTCATTTGTAAAATGAGGTAGCTTTTCCCAAGGGAGCTGAGGGTTCGACATTAAGTATGGAAAGTGCTCTCAGTGCTTGATAAATGATAGCTCTTAGTATTTTCGTGGGTGTTAGCAAATATTTGCTGAACTCAGAGACAGGTGGCTCTGGAGCTCAAAACAAGAAAAAATTCTTTCTATAAAAATAAATTTGGACCGATATGAGAATATGGAATGACAGTCTCCCCCCAGCCCCTGCCCCCAATGGCTACTCCCAAGGAGAGGCACCTGTCCCCTGCCGCCCACCATTCCCTATCCCATCATAAAGAGTTTTATGATGCATTTGCCTAAATCTGCTTCTATCCCCACCAATGTCAAGCTGAGAAGACTCACCAATTATGTTTTCTTAAATTCCTTTTAAAAACAGAAAAGAGAGACAAAGAGGTAGCCATTGATCCAGGATCACTTAGTGAGAGATGCATGGCATAATCACTGGATAAGCTAAACCCTGCCTGTGGACACGTCCTCCGTTGGACCAACATGCACAAAAATGACAGATGCCTCTACCCAAGCGCCCGCTACGTGTCAAGACCTTTGGCCAGGCATTTTCTTTTTTAATCCATGCTTTGATTTAATTAGCAAATGCCATGTAAAATAGGTTTTCCTCTCCCCTGGATCAGATGAGGACCCCAAGGTTTGGGGTTCTAGAGCTCTCTCTCCTTGCTTACACAGTCTGGAAGATGCAGAGCTGGCCTATGTACCGGGCCCTGCCCACTTCAAAGCCTGTAGGATCCCCACGCACCAACCTGCTGCTGGTACCTGTACGTCTAGAGGGGCTCCTGATAGGTTACCACGGAAACCTGAATGTGTGCATGCAAACACACACACATAAGCGTACACATGCCCACACTGACCAGTAATGCAGCTGCAAGGCCACTGGGACACAGATTCCTCCGCAGACCCTTCAAGGAGACCTCGTGGGTGCCCAGTTCTGGGTGCAGACCTCCTTTCGGATGGCCCGGCTCGTCCTTCTGAGGGAACAGTGAGTCATCTCAGAGTGTATCTTGCCTTATGTCAGGATCCAAGGCTCTCAATTACATCTCTGTTCCTGCCACATCAGAGAAGGTGGGAGGGAGGGTGGTAGGACATTGGCGGCCAAGGCTGTGGGTGTTTTCATGTGTGGGACCCCGCGGTTCTTGTTAACCAAGTGGGGCCCAGCAGGGGCATTTCAAATGCGTCTGTGACCAGGTCTGTGGCCACAGAAAAGCAAGGAGGGTGTAGGGAGGGGGAGAATGTTTTTCACTAACAGAGATTAATTTAATAATAATAATAATAATATAATAAAAATAAATAATATAATTATAATAAAATAAATTATAATAAATTAATAAAATAATAATAATAAATAAAATAAAATATGGTGCTCAGTGCTTTATGAAGGAGGTCTCATTCAATCCTCATACCTCCCAGGTAAGGAAGGAACAATCACTGCCCCTTCTACAGATGAAGAAACTGAGGCTTCCAGTAGAGAAGCAATCAACTTAAACTCACAAGGCTAACAGGGAGCCGTACTAGGATTCGAGCCAGGGTCTGTCCTATCCGGCGGCCCCTTCTCCGCGTACCCTCACGGGACTGCCTCCTGGGGAATGCGCAAGACACAAATGGCCCGGCACCCAGGCCCTGAATCAACGACGGGCTTTGATGAGAAAACCCACACAGGCGGGGGCTCAGCCCCTGCCCCGGCTCCCTGACCGGTCCTATTTGACTGCTCCCTGCCCTCTCGCCCACACTGTGAACCTTTCTGTCTTTAGCACAGCCTTCATTCCATTTACAGAATCTACAAGGCACTGTTGTTCCCTCGGGTTGTTTACAAACGGTCCTGTGTGGGAGGTCAGTCTCGGAAGTGATGGAAGGTCAGGACCATTTACTCTCTGAGTCACTCCTCTCTGCCTATCCCTTGATCAAGTGTTAGAGCCGTATCTGGAAGATAAACATTGCCAGATCCCACCTGTCCCGAATATCTCCCTCACTGCTCTGCCCCCGTGGTACCCTCCTTCCCTCTGGCCTGGCCTAAAAGTTCCTCCCTGGATAAGACAACAGATGCTACCAACACCAGCCGACCGCTACTCAACTGGCCAAATCTAACTCAGAGTAGATAACCCATGAATGCCCTAGACCCACCAAAACACTGGGATTGATTTCTCCCCACCGCCTGAAACATGGGAGATTCAGCATGACTTGGTTTCTTCCACAGACATGAAGCTCACTACTCCCAAGCAGCCCCTTGAGTTTTGGGGATGTTTTTTTCAGAAAATTTACCTTCATGTTGAAACCAAAATATCCCTCCTTATAATTTTCACCCATTGGTCCTAATTCTCTTGCCACAAAGGTAAATGCGCTACTTCTTATACATGACAACCTGCCAGGTTTAAAAGCACTTCGTGTTAAGAAAGGTGAAACCAAACTTCAGGGATGGAACAGGGACTGGGCGGCAGCTATCAGCACGTCAATTTTACCTCTCACCAGTAGGTGGCGCCAGCAGCTGGCTACAGTTTATCCCGTTTAACCCAACCAACAAACGGTTGATAAACGTCCTGTGAACCCAACCTGTTAAGGAGCTTTATGCCCTTGAGAACAGCAATGATATGTCCTCTGATTATTTTTTTCCCAGGACAAATATTCTAAGCTCCTTCAAACGATCTTTACAATGATAGTGTCCTTCATGGTTTCCTCATTTCTCTGTGTCAATGTCCCCCTTAAATACAGCACCCCAAACTGGACGCATAACGCCCGAGGGGACCTGAAATGTCCAGGATGACATTTGTCTTGATACTTATCAGACCTAAGCCTGAATTCTAGCTCTGTGACCTTGGTCGACTTTCTTCACCTCGTGGTTTCTGATCTGTGAAACAGGAGTTACGCGCTCCAGAGGGTTGTTGTGAGAATTAAGAGATAAAACATGTAATATATCTAGCACAGTGACTGAGCACAAAGTCTATTGATATTATACTGGATTAATGCAAGCAAATAGCTCATTACCCTTACAGGCAGTCGTAGCCTACACACCCTATTGATAGACTCCCAAACCTTTTCCAGACTTATGCTTGTTTATGGTCAATCAAAGCTTGGAGGTCGGTAAGTGGAAGGGCTTCCTAAACCACAAAGTGCTTTGGAAATATAAGGCAATGGCAGCCACATTATGATGGGACAATATCAGGACCAGCTGCTGCCCAGTAACCAGGTCTCCATTACGCTCTTGTGCAAATGTCATTTTGAACTTAAGTGCAAGACTTTGCATTGGCCCCTGTTAGCCTTGACCTTGTTGGTGTGGGCCCTCAGCTGAGAGAGTCTAGCTCCTCCTGGGTGACTCCCGAGAACTCCTGGGGGTGTTGTGACAGAGCACACTGTCTATGAGTTCATGACCCAGCGAGGGCTTTGGGGTCAGGGAGACCCGGGTTTTGATCTTGGCCTCCTCTCTGACCAGTTCTGTGAGCCAAGGCACTTTTTAGGCTTCAGTGTTTTTGTTTGTAAGGCAGAGATAATGTCCACTATCTTGTAAGGTTGTCCTTACAAGGACAAGAAATGTACTTCCTTAGTCCAAGGGAGATGTACAATTACCCGGCACGGGGGCTGGTGGACGGTGGGTGAGTGGTAAAGGTCAGTTCCTGACCTCTTTTCTCCTTTCTCTTCTGCCCTCAGTCTGTACTCTCCCCGCTCTCCTTGACCTTGAGCTCCCAGTTTTCCACCTGGTCAAGTGTTGCTGCATTTGGTCAAACTCAAGTATGAACAGGGAGGTCAGAGAATCAGACCATGAAGCTCTGTCCCAAGGAGGGGATTTGAAGAGGGATTCCCTAGAACTTCTGGAGGGCTTGACCTTCTCTTCCATTTCCACTTGAGGAATAGTAAAACCTCTGCCAGGAAGGCAAACATCCTCATGGGACTGGTAGGGCATGGGGGTTGCTGGATGGAGAGAGGAAGGACATGCCACAGATTCCTAACTGGGGGTGAGATCCGGGAGACCAGGGTTCCCATTGCCATTGACTGGCCATGTGACTTTGGAAAGTCCTCTCCCTTCTCTGGATCTTGGTTTTCCTGTCTATAAAATGGTCCAGTTTGGGACTGACCACTAAGGGGCTTTCAAATCTGTGGTTCTATTGCACTGCAGTCATTCATGGCTTAACTTAAGAACCAGTGTTTTCCAAAAGCTCATCCTTCCTTGCAGATACTGACTCTGGGGACATTAGGAGAGGGAAGACAGCACGTGCAGTTTAGACTGGAAGGCAGGAATCCTTCCTCAAAGGCAGCTGGGGCTGGACCAAACCAGGGAGAACTCCACAAAGGGGGCTTGACTTGGCAGCAACATTATATGGGACTCCTAGGAACTAGCCTTCAAACATTCTGTCGGCTACGTAGTGACCCGAGTCGGCCTGAATCCTAAATGGCCACCACCTATACTCTCCATTCCTGTTGGGTTTCACATCATCTCCCCGACCGCATCTGCCCTGTCTGCATGACTTTGTCCCACTGTGTGTCACAGCTCCCAAAGGTGGAGTCTGAATTGGCTTAATGCTCCCCTGAACTTGGGGCCATATACAATTACACACTGAATACGTATTCCTTATGGATGGTTCCCGGAAATTAGGAAGTACATTTCTTGTTCCATGTATTTGTCCATTCTTTTGTCCCCCCATCTATTCCTGTACCCACCCACCCATCTACTGTACACACATCCATCCTTCCGTTGTTCTGTCCATCTTCCCTGTCATTCAACCAGAGCCCACCATGTACACAGCACTAAGAGGATTCAAAGACCATGGGAATCACGTCCCTAGAGCTCAGACACTGAGGATGAGAATGGAATTATTTCCTTTTTTAACAAGATTTTATTTATTTATTTGAGAGAGAGAGAGTGAGAGAGAACATGCACAGGGGGAGGGGCAGAGGGAGAAGCAGACTCCCCGCTAAAGCAGGGAGCCTGATGCGGGGCTCAATCCCAGGGCCCTGGGATCATGACCTGAGCTGAAGGCAGACGCTGAATCGACTGAGCCACCCAGGCGCCCCTGGAGTTGTTTGCTTTAAGAATCTTTCCTCCAGTCAATACTGAGTGGGGATCACAGCCCCCCATGCCTAGCCCAGCACTAATCACTGAGGTGCTGATCATTATCATACTGAAGTCCTATGGAAAAAACAGTGGCCTTTGGATCTGGAAGCCCAGGTTTCAGACCCACCACATCTATCAAGTCTTATTGGCCCACCCTGTCAAATTCTGGCTTGAACATCCTTTATTTCTGATTTTTGTGGCCCACACTCTAAAGAAAGTTGCCCCCAAAGAGCTTCCAACCAAGACCTGCAAGTCTGATAAGTTCCATGTACTAAGAGTTATAAATAGAAATCCCAGATGAAAGTGGTCACAAGGCAGATTTGTGCCTTGTACCAAAAGGGCCGCACAGGCTGTGCCAGGAGTCAGCAGGAGGGAGACCTGTGGGCGTTGTGGTGGAGACCGACTGCGAGCTGGAATGTGACCCGCGGCTTCCATCTGCCCTGGGTCTTGGGGTGCAAGCCAATGGCCAGCTCCCAAGAGTCCTCAGACTCTACCCAAGCCCTCATGTAAGCCTCCACGTGTCCCACTGACCTCAAAGGGGAGAAGGGTTAAAAGGTCAAAAGGTTGATGCCCCTAAGGGAATAGGTCAGAGGGAAATAATTCCCCCCTTTGACATGCTAGTGGGGGGGGGGAGCAAAGGACTATTTAAGGAGACGCTGACAAAGCGCTAGGCACTGGGCTTCTACACGTTTCCTCATTTAATCAACACAACAAGGCAGGTCCTTTTATGTCCACTTTGCCAACAGGAAACAGGCTCAGAGAGGTCGAGTGACTTGCCCAAAGTCTTACAGCAAGGGAGTGCAGGAGCTGGGTCTCAAACTCAGACCTTCTACCTTGAAACTGCCCATGGCTGCCAAGCTTCCCAGGGGGTGAAGAATATTCCTGGGGACACTCTTGAAGGGCAGCGGCCCTGCTGGGCCAGGACTGTGCTCACCCTTCTTTCTCCTTGTTGATATTGTGAGCCCAAGAGGTACGACAAGCCTCCAGGGTTCCTCAGCAACGGCCCTGTTCACATTTGATAATTCTGTGTTGTGGGGGCCACCCTGTGCATTGCAGGATCCCTGGCCTCTATCCACGAGCTGCCAGCGCACCCCCACGTTGTGATCACCAAAAACGTCTCCAGACTTGCCACGTGTCCTCTGGGAGGCAAATCGCCCCAGGTTAAGAACCACTGGAGTAGAGCTAGAGGCCTGTCTCTCGACAATTCCCTATCCTTTCTACCCAAGAAAGTCTGGACGACAAAGAAAATGTCCAGTCTGTACTTACATCTGTGGACAGAAGATCAGTAGGGACAGTGACAGTGACCACAAACACGACCGCGGCCCGTCCACCCAGTGCTTGCTGAGTCCCCGCCACCCTGCTGAGTCCTTCGTGTGTATTTCCTCACGTATGTTACTCTATTTTCCCGAGGAGGTAAGTGAGGCTCAGCGAGGTTAGGTAACTGGCCCGCGGTCTCAGTGTTAATATATGGCAGATCTAGGAGGAGTTCATTTCCTAGGGCTGCTGTAACGAATTACCACACACAGTGACTTAAAACAACACAAATTAATTTTCTTATAGTCCCAGAGGTCAGAAGTCTAAAATCAGTGTCACTGGGCTAAAACTGAGGTGTTGACAGGGCCGTGCTCCTTTTGCAGCCTCTAGAAGAGAATCTGTTTCCTCGTCCATTCTAGCTCGGCCAGGTCACCGGCATTCTTTGGCCGGTGGTCCCATCTTCTACCTTGACCTTCAAGCTCACGGTATAGCATCTTCCTGAGTCTCTGTCTCTGACCTCTGCTTCCATTGTGACGCCTCCTTCTCTCTGGCTTTCCTGCCTCCCTCTTCTGAGGATTTTGTGATTACATTGGCTGCACCCGGGTAATCCAGGATCATCTCCCCATCTCATGACCCTTAATTTAATCACACCTGCAAACTCCTCTTTGCCATGTAAGGGAACAAGGTCCCAGGTTTTGGGGATTAGGAGGTGGCTACAGCTGGGGGCCATCAGCCTCACACGTAGGATTTAGATTCTCATCTCTCTGACCCCAAGGTTTGTACTCAATCCACTTCTGCCTCCCCCACCGTGCCTGAAGAGACACATCCTGCACTGTGGGGGACGCAGAGGTGGATCACATGCCCAGGGAGCGGTGAGCACCAGCACGCATCAGGAGGGGGCACGGGAGAAGTGCTGTGAGAGGAGCAGAGAGAGTCCCGGGGACCCTGGGCTAGCTAGCTGGGGCACAGGCGTGGGTGTGGGCTTGGGGGTCGGCCTGACTCCCCCCGCTGCCGCACAAGCTGATTTCCTGTAGGCCTCAGCACCTACCACCAACCGAAGCTTCAGATACGTCCGTCTGTAGTTCATCTGTCCTGAAGGGCCACCCTGGCCCAGCCCCCGCCCCTTCTGTGTGATTTATTACCTAACTCTCAATTTTCCCTTTCCAAATCTCCTCCCTGCCAGGCGCCCAGAAAGTCTTCAGTCTTATAAATGCTCTCCCGGGGCGCCTGGGTGGCTCAGCTGGGCATCTGCCTTTGGCTCAGGTCATGATCCCAGGACCCTGGGATCGAGCCCCACATCGGGTTCCCTGCTCTGTGGGGAGTCTGCTTCTCCCTCTCCATCTGTCCCTACCCCCCCCCATTTGTGCTCTCTCTCTCTCTACCCTCTCCCTCTCTAAATGAATAAATCTTAAAAAAAATAAAATAAAGGGCGCCTGAGTGGCTCAGATGGTTAAGCATCTGCCTTCGGCTCAGGTCATGATCCCAGGGTCCTGGGATCGAGTCCCGCATCGGGCTCCCTGCTCAGTGCAGGGCCTGCTTCTCCCTCTCCCTCTGCCATTCCCTCTGCTTGTGCTCTTCTATATCTCTGTCAAATAAGTAAATAAAATCTTCAAAAATAAAATAAAATAAAATAAAATAAAATAAAAAAATAAAATAAAATAAAACTGAACGCTCGCCCTGTCCCGCTCTGCTGTGTGAGGATGCTCTCAGCTGTCCGGCCCCTCCTGAGCCCCCCAGTCCCTTCACAGAATAGAGAAACCACACTGAGCGGGTTAGCCAGGCTCTCTCTTCCCAGACAGGCAGAGCCTTTGACTTCTTCCACGAGCTCTCCGGCTCGGCAGTGACCCAGGGATGGTTTCTCCAGGTTCCTGGGCATGACAAATCTCCTGACCCAAGGGAAAACAACAGGTAAAAATGACAAATTCAGCTTTGCATCATCCCGGGAGAAACAAAGTTTGGGAACTATTTTTTTTAATTAATTTATTTATTTGAGAGAGAGAGAGAGAGAGAGAGAGAGAGAGAGAGAGAGATTGTGGGCATGAGCAGGAGGGGCAGAGGGAGAGGGAAAGAATCTCAAGTTGATTTCATGCTGAGCCGATGTGGGGCTTGATCTCATGACCCTGAGATCATGACCTGAGCTGAAATCAAGAGAGGGGTGCTCAACTGACTGAGCCCCCTAGGCACCCCAGAACTATTTTTATCTTTTAAATGCTGCAGTTGGGGGAGGGTACCTGGCTGACTCCTTCGGCGGGCCCCGCAACTCTCGATATTGGGGTCGTGAGTTCGAGTCCCACGCTAGGTGTAGAGATTACTTAAAAAAATAAAATCTTTAAAACCAAAACTGCAGAGGGGCTTTGGGTTACACATAGCAGATGGAGGGACAACAAGCATTCATTTCTGTATCTTCCCCAAACCCCCGCGGATGACAGTAAAGGAATCAAGGTGTATAAATCCTCACGGCCAAAGGGAAAGGGGAGAAGAAACCACACTGGAGAGAGGCCAATCCCGGTTTGAAAGCTGGACACGCTGATGGTTTTGTGTGACTCTGCAGCCTGGAAAAGGCTGAGGCCCAAACCTGCAGACTGGTGGGAAACCCATAAAAGTGGATCTCATTGAGGAAGCTCAGGAAAGCTCGTGAGTGGGTGGCAACAGATGCCCCCAAAAGTCAGGTGCCACGTGGGGCTGAAGAAAGGAAGATGCAAGTTTGTAACAGGAGCAGCTCAGCTCCAGCCCCGCCAGCCCCCCACCTCGCCCTCCCCGCCATAGGCCTCCTCTGTCCTGCGTGATCTGGTGAGTCCGCCCCTACAGAGAGTGAATCAGGAGGTTTACCTGCACTACCCAACGTGATAGCCACATGCAGCCACCTACATTTAAAGGAAAACTAAGTTAAAAACCATTACAGTTCAGTGCCTTAGTCCCACCAGCCACATTTCAAATGCTGACTATTCACTGTGCCTCGTGGCCCCGTATTGGTCCCCGCAGGTCTAGAATGTGTCCAGCACTGCATGGAGTTATACGCGGGAGCACTGCTCTGGACCCTGGCCATCCAAAATGCGGCCCTTGGGTCAGCAGTGCTGGCAACTCTGAGGACCTTGTTAGGAATGCAGAATCTCGAGCCACATCAGGAATATGAGACAAGAGTCTGCATATGAATCTGCCTCGTACAAGATCCCTAGGTGATTCAGTGCACATCGGACTTTGGGACTCAGAGCTCCGAGAGAAACCTAGCACTGGTGGGGGTTAATTCCTGGCTGAGAAGGGGGCTGAGGGAAAGTTTAAATCATGCAGTGGGGGGGCTCAGCCAGTCCCCTTAGCCCCTTGGGCCAGAATTCAGATAGGCAGGCTTAACCGCCAAGCAAGAAATTAGAGAGGGGCTGGGCAGACTGACCAGCCAAAGAAAACAGACTACAGATAATGATGGAAGTTACAGGACGCTCCATGGAATGACCAGGTTCCTGCCAATCAGCCAATGAGGTTACTAGTTGACAAGCCCACCCCCACACCCAGAGCTCCTCAGGAAAAAAGTTTTTTTTAAATAAGCTTTTTAGGAGCGCCTGAGTGGCTCAGTTGGTTAGGCTTCTGCCGTCAGCTCAGCTCATGATCTTGGGGTCCTGGGATTGAGCCCCACGTCCAGCTCCTTGCTCAGCGGGGACCCTGCTTCTCCCTCTCTCTCTGTCCCTCCCCACCAACTCATGCCCGTGCTCTTGCTCTCTCTCTCAAATAAATAACATCTTTAAAAAAAGTAAATGAGCTTTTTAGTGCCTTATTCTTAAGCAAAAAATGGCCAAGGGTCAACAGACCAAGGGCCTCAAACATGACGAACAGACAACAAACAAAACAAATGAACAGCTGGAGGCATTTAAAACAAATGGACGCTACAAAGGGCAGACGAAAATATTCTGGTTCTCAGAGAGATAAGACACTGCATCTATAAAACAAGAACAGGGTGCTATAAGGAGAGAATATTCTGAAAACAGGAAAGGGTGCCAATACATTAAAAAAAAAAAAAAGCCTGGCAAAATAAAAACTTCAACAGAAGCATTGGAAGATGAGAAAATCTCTCATAAAGTGGAACAAAAAAGATAAAGTAGGTCAGAACAGATTGCTCCAGGAGGTCCAACATCCTATTAGTAAGAATTCCGGAAATGATTAAAAAGAGAAAATCGAGAGGAGGAAATTATCAAAGAATTCCTGAAAATTTCCCAGAAATGTAGGCCACGAGTTTGCAGAATGAGAGGACCCTCTGAGTCCCCAGAACAATAAGTAAAGAAGACCCACAATAGGGCTCATCGTTATGTCTTTTCAGAACATAGGGCATAAAGGAAATATCTCACACATGTCCGTGGATTTTTCTTTTTTAAATAAGGTCAAATACAAATAAAAGGCCCCACAATCAGAAGAAATGAGAATCTGACAGCAGCAGTACAAGGAGCTCTGAGACAACTCTCCAAAGTTTTGAGGGAAAATAATTTCCAGCCTAGAAATGTACAGCAAGCCAAACTAAATACTGAGTGGAGAGGTAGAAGAACAACGTTTTCTGGCATGCGAAGCTTCAGGAAAAAGTCCCCCGCACCCCAGGCATCTTTCCCTGGGAAGCTCGCAGAGGACAGGCCCCCCTAAAGTGGAAGAACAGACTAAGCATGAAAGGACTAGGGGTTCTGGGGCCTCAGGGGGGGAGCCCTGCAGCAGCTGAGGGTCACAGTCTGACTCGGGGGAGGAGAGAGGTGCAGGGAGATTCTGCCAGCCAGAAAAAGGGAAATTGGCAGCTTTTCTGATGTGTTGGTCCAAACTGAAAGGAGATCTACTCTTCCCTGGAAGAGTTTGGGAATGAATTTATGATAGAATAGTAAGCTTCCCCGAAGGGCTTAAGGAACCAAATGCCTCCCTTCTACCCACCCCCCTCAATTTCTCATTCCCCCCTCCTCAGCCCCTGTGGTGGTCCTGGGAGGCAACTCCTTGTGGTCACAGGACTCTGTGGAAGCCAGTCGGAAAACTACTGAGTCCACAGCCCTCTCCTTACACATGGGGAAACTGAGGGCCAGCGAGGCCCCCTGAAGGCATGGAGAGAAGAAGGTTCGTTGGTAGTT